TAAATCACTCGTACGCACAATTTAAGAACAAATCTGTGCGTACGAACGGTTCTTGCATGAGGCCCAATGAGTTAGAAGTAAGGGAATATAAGTCTTTCAAAACTGCAAAATAAGAGCACTACAAGGCCCTGTTTTAAAACTATCATGTCATTTATTATATCGTATCATGCAGAAACATRATATCACATCCTATTATATTGTATTGGGTTGTAATGTATCACATTGTGTGGTATTGTAGCATAGCAGTGTTCYTTGTTTCATACTATATTGTAGAGTACCAGATTGTATCACTTTATATCYTATTCTATCTTGTTTTCTTGCATCACATCACATCTTATCATATCACACTGGATTGCATCGTATCACATTGTATTGTGTTGTATTGTGTCACATTGYATTGAATTGTGTCACTTTGTATTCTATCCTATCGCATCAAATCATATAGATTAAATGATTAATGATTCAGTTACATCAAGGCAAAATGAAAACATCTACTGTATCCATATCATCATCATGTTCGATGTGGATTGATATCTTATGGCTGTCTAGCACAATCAAATCGTTTGAAGACTTGTGAATTGAATTTAATCAAAATCAAATRATGACAGACTTTGTGAAATCATTWTACATCATCCAAACAAATCAATATAATATCACATTGTGATAATTTATTGCATCCCTTTGTATTGTATCGTATTGCATCACATCTTATCACATCYTAATGTATCATAACGTATTGTCACATTTTATCACATCATATTGTATTGTGTGACGTGGAGGAGCCGGGYTCGTGTGGTCTTCATGAAAGCTGCACTAATATCCCCGGCTCTTACTCATGTGCCAAAGATTTCACAACAAATTATAGCATATTATTATTAATGAGTGAGGAAATAACAGTACTTCATGAACCACTTTTTTTTCCTGCTATTTGTATCAAAATAGTTTCATTGTGTCTTACAATCAAATAAAAACGATAATGGTTTTATTGTCACTGATWAAAGGAAAATACAAAACATCGTTGAGTTCAGGTTTTAGGGTGTTTTTTTAATCCTAACTTATGTTGGAGGCTCGTATTAGGAAAATGTCCAAAAATATTAATTATAATTGCTTTTTGCCTTGCAAGGCCATATTTGTGCCAATACACCTGCTTAGTTACATAATATGCATGCTGTGATTCCATGTTTGTATTTATATTTTACTGTWTCACTCTCTGTCTATTTAACAGATGTTGACGAGTGTGACGTGGAGGAGCAGGGGCCGTGTGGTCTTCATGCCAGCTGCATTAATATCCCCGGCTCATACTCGTGTGCCTGCCTCCGTGGCTACCTGATGGGTTCTGGAGGGTGCCAGGGTTCGTCAGCTTGTAGAAACGTGTGTGTGGGTGTGTGTGTGTGTGTGTGTGTGTGTGTGTGTGTGTGTG